ACCCATTCCTCGGTTGGTGGGCATTTGGCTTATTTCCAAGACCTAGCTATGACATATTGTGCTGCTGTAAACAGGGTGCACATGTATCACTGTGGCATGATGTTTTCAGTCCTTTGGGACAAATACCTGGCAGAGGAACAGCTGGTTTGTGTGGGACTTCCAGCCCTAGCTTTTTGAGGACTGTCCACTCGCTGATTTCCACGGTGGTTAAGACAGTAGTAGGTAGAGAGTTTATAAACAAAAACCAAAAGACACAGGAAATACTTCAAAGAATCAACAATTGGGATCTCATCTTTTTGAAAAGTTTCCACATGACAAAAGAAATCATCAAGAGAATAAAATTAAAAACCACAAATTGGGAAAAAATTATAGCTGACTGTCCCTCAGACAAAAGACTTCTATCTAGAACATGCAAAGGATTGAAAGAAATCAGGCCTTCACAATTCAAAGACCCAGTCCAAAAATGGGCACCTGAGATGAACATACACTTTACCAACGAAGAAATACAACTGGCAAATAAATATATGAGAAAATGTTCAACATCATGGGCCATTCAAGAGGTGCAAATTAAACCAACGCTGAGATCCATCTTATGCCAGGAAGAATGGCTGTCATCAAGAAGTCAACCAATGATAAATGGTGGAGGGGCTGTAGGAGAAAGGAGCCCTTCTCCACTGTGGGTAGGAGTACAGATTCGTACTTCTTTTGAGAAGTGCCTGATCAGTTCATTTGGCCACTTTTTGATACAATTATTTGCTTTGGTGGGTTTATTTATATATTCTTAATATTCATCCTCTACCATAAAAATACCCAGCAAAGATTTCCCCACATCCACTGGGTTGGCTCTTTATTATCTCATTTCCTTTTCATTACAGAAGCTTTTTGATGTGATGCAGCCCCATTCGGTGGTGTCATTCATTAATTCTGTGCTTTTATTGTCCTGCTTTGGAAGCTTTTGCCTATGTGCTTGCAGGCAGGTGTTCCCCTGTGATCTCTCCAGGAAGTTCAAGCCTAGGGTCTTATATCCATCCTGAGACCGTGTTGCTCTCCATGAGAGTTAGGGCTCTACCCTACGTGTCCACGTCTGGGTATCCCAGCACCATTTCTTAAGGAAGCTGCCTTTTCTCCAGCCATGTTTTGGGTCCCTTAGTTGTGGGAGCATGGGTGTGTGGCTAGGACTTCTAGTCTATTAGACTGTTGTCTGTGGTATGTCCACGCCATGTTGGTTTGTGACTTAGGGTCTTCTAGTACAGTTTGAAATCTGGGCGTGGGATGCCTGTAGTTATCACTCTTCTTGTCAGCAGTACTGTGGCTATTTTGGGTCTTTTGCATTTCCATGTGAATTTTAGGATTTCTTTTCTTGTTTTATGAAGAAGGTTGTCATTTTAACAGACACTGCACTGAATGTTTGCTCATGTGGCCATTTTCACAAGATTAATTTTTCCAGTCCATAACAAGTGAGGTCTTTCCATTTATCTTGTCTTCTTTAATTTCTGTGTTTGGTATTCTGTAATTTTCATTACAGAGCTTTTGGACCTCCTTAGGTGGATTCCTAGTACTTAATGTTTTAAGTTACTGCAAATGATACTGATTTTCTGGTTTCTCTCTCAGATTCTTTATTAGTGTCCAGTGAACAATCAATAGATTGAAAAATTGATAGATTTTTCTATTGATTTTTTGTGTCCTTTTTGCATCTTCAGTAAGGTCTTTATAAACATGCTCAGCAACATGTGAATTATACCATGTAATTTACAACATGTAAAGAATTTGTACCTGTATATGACATACCTTGCACCTTCTTTGCTGTTGATTTTACATCCCACTACTTTGATTAATTTATCAAATCTAAAAGCCTTCTGACACAGAGTTATTTGTTTGTTTGTCTGTTTGTTTGTTTAGCGGTACTGGGGAGCAAACTTGGGACCTTGCCCTTGCCAGGTAGGTATTTATGCTGCTGAGCCATCTTCCCAGCCCTGATGGAGTTTTGTGGGTCTTCCATACAAAGATCTGTGTCATCTGCAAACACTGGTAATCTGACCTCTTCCTCTCCTGTTCATGTGGCTCGTATTTCTTTCTCTTTTTTGGTTGCCCGGCTACAGCTTCAAGTCCGATATTGAACAGGAGAGTGAGTACTGTCGCTTGTTGCTGGTTTCACAGAAAACGCTTTGAGTTTCCCTCATTCACTGTGGGACCAGCTGCAGGTGTGTCATGTTGCTTCTATTAATGTGAGGAAACATCTGCCTGTACCTAATGTTATTAAGATTTTGTCACCAAGGCATGGTGTGCGTCTTTCAAAAGCTTTTTGTGTACTTATCGAGATGCCATGTAGTTTTAGCCTCAATTCTGTTTATGTGGTGTAATTCATTTATTGATCTACATGTGTGGAGTCATCTTTGCATTCCCAGGATGAAATCTCCTTGGCTGTATGGTATGATCTCTGACATGTTGCTGAGCATGTTTATAAAGACCTTATTGAGGACTTTCGCATCAGTGCCGACTGAGGACATTTTTCCAGGTGTTGCTGCCGAGTCTTTGTCTAGTCTTGCCATCAGGGTAGGCTGGCTGCACGAAGTGAATTTGGAAGCATTCCTTCCCTTTCCATTACACGGAGATGTCTGAGGAGAATTTGGGATGGTTCTTCTCTGACAAGCTGATAAAAGCCAACAATACATCCCTCAGGAGTTTCTTGACTGGAAGAATTCTAGTATGTCAGTCTCACCGCTTCTAAGTGATCTGTTTAGATTTGTCAGAGCTTATTGATTCAGCTTAGGTAGGCAATATGTGGCTAAGAATTTATGAATTTCCTCAGGATTCTCCAATATATTGGAATATTTTTTTCAAACTAATTTCTGACACTCTTCTGGGATTCAATGATGCCTGTAATAACATCCTGAACCATTCGCTTGGTAATTGCAGCAGTGGCCATACCCAAATCCACATCCTTGTCAAAACATAAATTGTCTGAGGAGCCTGATGGCCACACACCGCACCCTGAGCTCTCACCTGACCACACTCTATTCTGTCATGCTGCATGGTCCCGAGAGTAAGTCCCTAGCTTATGAGCACACACGCTGAGAACTTCTACCAGGTGCTGTGTAGAAGGCTCCCAGGTGCCCTGTCAGGACCCGTTCTGCCGCTTACGCACATGCTCCCAGAACAGAGCCCATTCCTCAGTCAAGGGCTTACTGTGTAGAGCCCTGTCAAAATCCTTTTCATTTGTTAAATTGTCTAAACTCTGTGTCTTCCCTCAGAATGTATAATAAAATGTGGCGCCAGACCCAAGAAGCCCTCAACTCTTTGCTTGATAAAGAATCTCAGAATGTGATAGAGCCACAGAAAAACCAAGTCTTCATCTTCCAAATGCTCGCCACCTTCTATATCAAGTACGTGCAGATATTCAGGAACCTGGACAATGTCTATGACCAGATCGTCCATCCACAGAAGCGGATACTGATCCGGAAGATACTGGACAGCGTGATGGGCCGCATCCTGGAGCTGAAGAACGACATGGTTGAATTGGAACTAACTGAGTTCCATTATTTTGATGATATCTTGCAGGACTTGAAGCTGGCTCCCGTAAGTACAGCAGAGCACTTCTGTGCACGTGTAAATAATATATGTGGGCCTGTAGCCGATATTCTTGACTTTCTAGAATACATTTACTTACTGCTTAATTGCTGAATTAAAAGCCTAAACATTCCCCTTCGGTCATACTAAGTCTAGGTGACCTGTTGTTTCATGCAAGTGAATCTTGCACAGTCCTGGGGTCAGCTGAGTGTAGAGGTTTGGTCTTAGTGTGCCCCACGCTTTTTGCCCAGGACTTGTGCAAAGAGGAGGTGTGCCTACCATAGTAGCTGGTAGCTCAAGCCCTCTTCAGCCACAGAACAAAGTTCCCTTCCTTTTGTGTTCCCTAGAAGCTTCCCTCTGACCTTCACTGTCCTTGTCCTCATCTCCTAGATGGGAAACCCGTTGGTTGCTGGGTCTTTATTCCCAAGTGGGTGGACCTCTGTGCTGTGGCCTCCCTCTTCCACTGGCCCTCTCCCAGCTGGCACCTGGAAACCAAGGCAGCCTTCTGAAGACATTCAGCACTGCCACTCCCCTTCTGAGCGTGGCTGCCTGACACTCCGCTGAGATGGCTTCTGGTGTTGTGTCTGACCAGGTCTTCTGGTGGCCCTTGGCACCTTGCCTGCTTATGGGCCTGGATTCACTGTTCATTTTTAAATGAAATTCTCCTAAAATAAAATAGCAGAGCATGTGTAATGTTTTATACGGGGTTCTATGTTTCTTCATTTTAAAATGACTTGGGCTTTCATAAAGGTGGTATTTCTTTGGGTGATAGACTCTTCTAATGTCATTAAATGACTTTATCAAAAGGACTGAAGAAAAACCAAAATGAATGAAAGTGCTGAACTTCACTCCAAAACCTGTATGCTTACTACATTCACTTACAAGAGCAGGAGCAAATGTCCAGACATGGTCGGGAGTGCTTTCCTCTCACCCACGAAAACAGGACAAACACCCGAGGATAATGTGAAACCAGCAGCTCTCAGATCACAGTCCTTGATGTAATCAGAGAAGTCATACTAGATTTATGAATCTACCTTCAGGGACATTAAGTACCATTGCTAAAAGTAAGGACTGCTGGGCTCCTTCCATTCTCCTGCTGTCCACACGGCCTTGGCTGGCCCCTCCATGTCCACTGGTCATCTTCCTAAAGGACAGGGGTTCTTGCTGCCCTAGGGGAACCACTGTGCCCAGGGAAGATGACAGGTGAACACACATCAGCAAGGAAGGCTTGCTTGCAAGAGATTGTCCAGCCCTGGAAATCGTGACTAAGCCATGTGGCGGGTGTCGCCGAAGCTCAGGTGTCTGGAGGTTCAGTTGGTGGCAGCAGCACGTGCTCTGTGAACAGGGCCCTGAGGAGGGAAGCACGTGAAAGCCAGCCCTGGGCGGCACTGTGCACTTCACAAGGGCCAGACTGCGGGCGTCATCTGCACCCTCGCCTGCACGGGCAGCACCCAGCTCTTCATACAGAGGACCTGGGTCCCACACTGCCGCCTGGGGCCTGGGAAGTAGGGCCTCGTGGCTCCTCCTTGAGATGCTGGAGGCAGGGCGGAGAAAGGAAGCAAGCACTGCCTCCATCTCGAGGCCTGACTGGGTCTCCCAGACCATGTGGAGTTGGAAGCCCAGCTAAGAAGATGTTCTGAAGCGTGGAAGAGATGGCTTTGGAGAGGAACAAGAGATGAATTGAGACAGATACAACAGAAACAGATTCAGTGAGATAAGCAGACGGGGTGGCAGAGCCCTCAAGGTCCTGTCATTGTTTTCCTGCCCTAGTTACTCATAGGGTCCCCAAAGTCCATCCAGTTTGGGTCATTAGCCCAAGGACTGTTCCCAGAAGCTGCTCCGATGGGTCCTTCTCAGCAGAGAAGGTGGGCGAGAGAGGGCGCCTCTGCTCCTGAAGCTTCTGGGATCCCACTCCGTGAGCCTGGGAAGCCCCAGATATGTGGGTGGGCCTGGCTTCCCTGCTTCCCTCCTATGCATTGCCTCCTCAGCCTTCCAGCTCTGAAACTCTGGTCTGTAATGTGCCCTACATGAGCTAGATAAACCCAACCAATAAAAATTAGCTGGAAAAGCACAACACTTGAACACTTTTTTATGTATTTAGTACAGGGTCTCACTACACAGATCAGACTCGTAGTGATCCTCCTGTTTTCAACTTCCCAAGTGCTGGGGTTACAGGTGTGTGCCACCACGCCCAGTCTCAGTCGTGGTATCAGCAAGCCCCAGGGGCGAGTCAATAGGGCATGTGGTGCTGGGGATCGAACCCCAGTCCATGTGCCTACTTAAGCAGGCGCTTTAGTCCACTGAACTATCTAGCCAGCCTTTGAACACAGTTTTTAGTGAATAACATCACAGCATCAGGTAAGAGTGTAATCATTCCTCTCTGGCCTCCCCAGGCCCACAGGGCACGCTCACCCCAGGGACTCACCCAGGGATGCTGCAGCCTGCACACAGATCCCCCACAGGCTTGCTAATCAAAAAACAAGTTGATGTTCAGAAGCTCTTGCCACCTCCTGGGCGTCCTGGGCATGCTCTCCCTCTGCTCTGTGAAACTGACAGCGCCTGGGTGTCACAGCCTGAAGGCCCAGCCCGGTGGTCCCCAGGGAGCAGCCGGTGCAGCTGCGTCACCTGGAATGATGCTTCTCCTGGCGAGATCAGCGCCTCACACCCCCGACCTCAGATCCTGGGCTGCACAGTGCCCCTTCAGCCTCTGCTCATTTGAAGCACTTGACAACACACCTAAGTGAAGAGCAGGTGTCATATTTATTGAATTAAAATGTTTCCTAATAAACCAAATTAATCTTTTAACAAATTTTTGTAATACAGTAATTTAGGTTCAAAATAAAACCACATTATTAGAAAAAAAAAAAAAAAGGCCATTGACATCCAAGTTGACAGTGCCAGTAATAAATCACTCAGTTTACTCACCCATCTCTGCAGCCCAGTACACTGCCAGCCTGGTTGGAGCCATTACTTTAGAGCTGGGACAGTGTTACACTTGTTGAAAAAGAATCAGGAAGTAATATTAGTTCTTTGAGGCCCGATTGATATGGAATCCTGAGGCTTTAATGTAATGAGTTAAACAAAAGGCACAGGTAGGATTTTCCTTTCGGCTCTTGCATCTCCGTGGTGGTGGTGGTGGATAATTCACTCTCTCCCTGGGCCTCTGCAGAATGGCACGGTGACCCAGCGTCTGGGCTAGGCCGTCCTGCTCTGCATTTTGGGTGGGTCTCAGTTCTGGGATCCTAACAAGCATGTTCTTCTGTTTGTTCTTTCTCTTCTCTAGCAGCAATTGGACATCCCCATCCCCAGGTACTTTCTGAGGGAGAAGTTAGAAGCCATAAAAGGAAGAGAGAAGATGCTTGCACAGATACTAGCAGACAGCGGATTGGATGTGTCTGACATGGTTCGTACCGTTTTAATAAACTTTTTTTTTCAAAATCTGTAGAACTTCCTATTCCTGCTGCTCCTGACTGTCTGAGCAACAAAGACCTTATTCTCAACTTGAGGAGAGAATCACCCCACCCTCGTGGTCACATACAGCACAGGAGAAGTTTTATAACTTTTGGACATGTTCTCAGTGACACAGAGCTGAAAACTAGAGATCAAAGAGCAATGTGGGGGCTGCAAGGGGTGTGAGAGATGGGTATGTTAGCAGCGTGGCCGAATTCCTTGCACATGACCACCAAGCTGAAGTGAGAACTGTCGTCCATATCAGGAGGTTAAGTGAGGCTGTGCTCTCCTGCCTGACCCTACTGGCCCGGCAGCCACTGGTCCTGCACCCTGGGTGCTGCAGAACACTGGGACAGACGGGGGCTGTGCAGAGCCTGTAGGGGCCCCACAGGGGGCAACAGGGACAACACGCAGGCATGTTCTTCCTGCAGGTCAACCCCGCTGAATGCTGGCCTGGGTAGGAGTGCTAGGAAAAGTCAATCTCATGCTGGGAATAGTGGAGACAGAGGTGCTGGACTCAGGTGAAGGCCATGAGTCTTGGGTGGCTGGGCACTGTCTCTCTGTACCAGCAGGCTCTGCGCGGGAGGGAAAGGCTGCTCTTCCCCACACACCTGCCTTGTGCCTGACACAGCACCATCGCGGAAGCCTTTCCTGACCACCTGACTCCTTCCTGAGCCCTCCCCACCCACAGGCCTCTCATCCACCTTGTGGGTCCCCTGAAGCCAGCATCGAGGCTGGATGTTTGGGGTCGAAGGAGCCCCTCAGCACCGAAGGGCAATGCAGAATCCCAGCAGATGTTTCAGGAGAAATGGAGAGGAAGACAAACCTTGCACACGGCGCTAAAACCCCAAATGCCTCCTTGCTGTTCTCCTGCCTCCGTCCCTCTTCCTTGGCACTGTCCCTCACCCTCATCACGAGGCATGTCTCTCCTCCTTCCTCACTCAAGGTCAGGCTCTCGTTGCCCTGGGTGAGCACTCATCTCTGCTGGCACTCGGAGGGGTCAGGCCCCCCGCAGGCGCCAGTGTCCCCTGGGCCTGTGCTGTGTTCCTGAGCTGCTTTCTCCCCTTAAACTGCCAGTCTCTTCAATGCATGTGCATTGCACACCCCCAGAAGAACTGTGATAGGGGACATCGTTGCCTATCTCCTATAATTTGGCTGCTTAACATCTACCAGTTGGCGGGTGGTTGGTTGAGACAGTGCTGGGGATGCAGCCCCACACTGCTGTGCCTGGCAGGCTCTCTGCCCCTGCGCTCCTCCCAGCCCCAGCATCCATTAACGAGGTCTCTCTGGACACTCAGAGGCCTTTGTTACGTGGCATAGCTGACCCCGGGTCCCCTGGACAGAATGAGTCAAACCGGCTGATTGGTCAGAATGACAGCGTGGAGTGCGAGAGCGAGCTTGGGACCAACAGCTGCCGGGTGCCTGCCATGCACAGAGTGCTTCACGCACCGCCGACTGACACCAGAATAACGTTTGTCCTCCTTCTAACGTGCAAAGCACACAATCAAAGCACGTGCACTCCCCATGCATTTCGGCAGTAGGATCTCTCTGAAAACAACTGGGAAAAATATGGCATGAATGAGCTTACTGCTAGTGGACTCCCTCCTTGGGCTGTGTTGCAAATTCCTGTTTTAGCAGGATCTTGAGCAGATGGTTCATTCCGTGAGTGGGCCTCGGTGTTCTGAGCTCCCCAGGGCTCACGGCGGCCCCGAAGAGTGCCCGTGTGACCTGGGAGGAAAGCATCCGGCCCACGCAGGACCTCAGTAAACGTCTCTGCCTCTCCTCCTCTCCCCTTCCTGTGTCCCAACCCCCACCAGCAGCACCACACACTGCCTGTCCAGTAGCACAGGGGAGGCAGGAGTGACCTGGGAGCAGCATGTCCGGGTGATAAGTGAGGCATCCATGCTAGAGGCTCTGAACCTCACCCAGAATGCAGCCCTGGCTCCCTCAGAGGCTGGACAGGGACCAAGCCGGTGCTCAGCTGTTTCTGGCCCTGTCGCTGCTGCTCCGCTGGTCCCTGGATGGGTGTCCCCAAGCCTGCCCATGCATGGCTCCCTTTTCTGGGGACAGCAGTAAGCCCTCACCCCCAGGCTCTCTTGGGCCTCTGAGCACCCCCAGAGCCCTTGGCTGTGCCCTTCTTCCACCCCTAACCTAGCACAGCTCCAGGTGACTCTCACCCTCCTGGCCTGAGATCGCGGCAGTCACAGCCCCAGCCTGGTGCCTCTGCCGTTCATTGCATGTGGTTGTTTTTATGACGCAAAGCTATAGACAGTGGAAGATGTTTCATCCATAAAATAAGCGCTCCTAAAATGATTTTACCATTAGTTGTAGCCATTAAGTTGGACTGTAATTGATTTTAAACTCAGCATTTTATTTGACGTATATTTAAACATTTTAGTTCTCTTATTAGAGACGTGTTTTTACTTTCTAATCCTACTATGAACCATTTGGCAGCAAGTTCAACTTTTATTGAATTCACTTTATTGACATTTTTAGTATGAGTTGCTGCCAACCTGAGATGTTGTGGCACCGCTTCATGTTTAGTTTGGAAGAGAAGAAGGAAGCTAGCGGTCCTTAGGTTTCAGGCCACGTGGGAACGTGATGCAGGATCAGAACATACACAGTTCACTGGGAAGCAGGCGCAGCGCGTGGTGGCCCTCGGCAGGGAGCACCAGCAGTCAGTGGCCGGTGGATATACAAAGTGGGATGAAAACAATGCCAAATGTCTAGTTGTTTGGGTTTTTTTTAACTTAGTACTGTGAAAGATCCTTTACCATTGTCCCCCTTCAAGGCTGTCCCCTCACTTCGAACACACTGACCCTTCATTCTTGCCATTTTCTGGAGCAGCTTCTAGAAGTCCTTTTTCTTGAGTGGCCTCAAGAGATATGATAAAAAATATAATGACTGCTGCTGCTGCGTGTCACCCGTGGAAAGGCAGGCTCCTGAGAGCAGGGTAGTGTCCTCCTTCTCCACCTCACTCAGCACCCTGTGCCTTCTGGCCCTTGTCAAAGTCAAAAGGGCCTGGAAAGGTAAATGTTTTGGACTGGCTCAGGCCGTCAAGGCAGCCACAACGAGCAGCTGAGGACACTGAGGAGAGAGGACGACGCCAGAGCTGCTGCCGAAGCAACAAGAAGGGTGGGATCCGCGTGCTCAAAGGTTTTGATGGCATTGAGCGGCAGTGTATCTTCTGCTCTATTCAGTGTTTCATTTAAACAGCCGCTCTGTTCGGCTCACACCTCATAGCAGTTAGGATGTGTAAGGCAGATTTATCCTGTATCGTGCAGAAAACCACCGTGAAGCCAGTGCCCGTGGAAGAGGCTGTTAAACTGATCCAGATTGCGGAACGCGCCCGGCAAGGTCGCCTACGAGCGCTGTTTATGAAGCAGATCTATCTTCAGGAGTACCGAGCAAAGCAGGCCCGACTGCTGGGTGAACAAGTGGCAGACGCTGGTGCGGCCGCGCTGCGGATTCAAAAGGTGCGTGCCTGGGCGATGTAGTCTACCTGGGGAAGGAGTGAGGAAAAGGGGGCGCCCAAACTCAAACCCCCAGGTCCTACTTCAGGGGAGGTGGGTTTAGTCAGTAAATTCCAGGCGGATTTATTAAATTATCCTGGACAAACCACTCACTTGGTCATGTTTAAAATTTTTATCCCACCTAGCCACTAAATACAAGACATTTGATTCAAATAATTTTAAAGACCATTAATATGTGTTGGAAAGAATGTTGCTAAAATTGAGTGAGATATAAATCCTTAGTGAGTTTTTAAAAATTCGTGCGTGCATGACATGATCACAGAAGGCAGAAGCAAGATACAGGGGTGACGGCTTTCAGAAAGGTATACAGTTTTAAAAATCCCAGCAAGCCTTGCTCCTGGCAGAACACCAAAGTTCCTTCTTGGAGCAGCTGCGTCTCCTTGTCAGAGTACCACAGATTTTTACCCCATCTCTTTCCAGACAGAGGCCAGGGTTAATCACAGGGAAACAAAGGAGGGGTGCGGTGACATGGATTAGAATTAAGACTGAGAGGAAGTAAGTGTAAGGACAGGAAACAACAAGAGGACCCGAGTGTCCCTAAGAATGTCTGACTGGAAGCAGGGGAAAGAGGCAGGAAAGGCAGATAGAAGCCTACTGCCTTTCACCTTTCCATAGGGACGCATGAGCACCGGAGGTAAAAGCCTGCAATGTATGACTCTTAGACTGTTTCCCCGTATTACTTTGGGAATTTTTCTTCTAAAACCAAGAAGAGGCATCCTTAGATCCAGTCACTCTCCTGTCCTCTAAGGTTTCTCTGAGGAAAACCAGGTAGGCAGGGATTTCTTGATGAAAGGTAGGGGTCAGCTCTGAGTCATCCTTTCTTAAAAAAAAAAAAAAAAAAATCCTGTGATGACAACAGAAAACAATATTCCATCAACACATTTGTGCTCAGCCTGGAGACTGTGGCCATCGGCGCAGGTGGCATGTGAAGCCGTGCGGCCATCGAGCAGCCCTGTGCTCCATTTTAGGTGTGGCGAGGTTTCCATCAGTGCAAGAAGACGGAGAAGGAGCGAGAAGAGGAGATGGTGTTCCTGGGAATGGTGAGCGCCTGCAGGCGGGGTCTGGCTTCCTGGAGACAGCAGCCGCCATTAAGGCACATGTCTTCTCTGGAAGCAAACTGGAGGCTTAAAGTCACAGAGTCCCCGAGTGGAGAGAAGCCAGTGGCGGGCAGGGGGTTGGGGACCTGGAGAGGGAGGCCTGGGCCCTTCCCAGAACCCCCCACAGCGCGGGCATGCCCAGGGAGGACCAGAGCAGCACAGTGCCAACAGTGCACCCCCTTCCTCAGGACTCAGGGTCTTGGGTGTCGTTTGCACTGGTAAGGCTGGGTCAGGGTGGGGTGGGGGAAGTCTCCCTGGTGATTACTACATCATCGTGCTGCCCCACATCAGTGTCACGGTGAGCAGCAGCCTGTGCAGTACCCACCCATCTTCTCGCAGTTCTGTGGTCTTGCTGGGCTCTCTTTGTGGGCTCACAAAGCTGCCTTGGCGATACCAGCCCTGCCGATCTCACCCGAGCCTCACTGGACCAGGGGCCTCGTTTCCTTGCCACTGTTAGCCAATGAACGAGGGGTCCCTGCGGTGACCCTTTAGGGAAGCCAGCAGGGAAAGCGGGGACATGTACAGCTTTGCTGACTGGCATCAAGTGCCGTGCCATGTGCTCTGTCCTGCTGTGTGGGTTGGAAGCTGGTTAGAGGATCCACTCCCACTGGGCGGGGCTGAGGTCCAGCGGCACAGGGGACAATGCCAGGGCCTGTGTGAGGCAGGGGCTTCTCCAGCGGGTTACACACCAAGGCATGAACTCCTGCCAGTACAGAGAACCCCTGCTGCCTGGGCAGTCCTCCACCAGATGTGTCCTAGTCCCTTTGCACAGGACAACCCTGGGTGTATTGGATGCCAACTCGCATGCCCCTGCAAGCCAGTTCTTCTGGAAATTTTTTTACGCTATTTTTTTTTACATTTGCTAATTGACTTATTTGGGAGGTCTTTTTTATTTTTAGACAGAATAAAAATAACTTTAAAAATTAGAAGTGAGGGCTAGGGAGATAACTCGGCAGCATAAGTGCTTGCCTAGCAAGTGCAAGGTTCTGAGTTTGATCGTGAGGGGAGAGAGAGAGAGAGAGAGAGAGAGAGAGAGAGAGAGAGAGA